GCCCTACTTTCCCTAAAATGACTGGTGCCCCATTGGATTAGGGTTTTTACCCTCACTTACTCCCCATTTCTCGATCATTTTTCTTGTCAGGACTCCCTTGTCAACGAGCCTTTCTATCTCTTACATCAATGATATATACTTGTCAGTGTGATGGCCCAATACCCCTAGATGAAAATCACAAGCACTATTCGGGTCATAACCATAAGAAAATGGACTAGTCTTCACTCTTAAAGGCCTTGGAGCGAGGTACTGATTCTTGATTAAAGGGGATAGCAAGTTGGAAATGGGCACTTGAAAAACCTTGAGGGTCGTATTTTCCCAAGACATCTTTTACGTCCAGTCTCGGATTACCTCTCCTTTAGCTTCTTACTTGTCATTTCCCACACTTATCTCATTTTTTGGTGTCAGAGAGGTCTCAAGAGTTGGATCATTTATCTCTGCCTCACATGTCTTCCTTTCCTTGATTTTCTTAATCCTCTTTTTATGTCCTCTTCCGTTTACACTTCATTTCTTACCTCATCAACACCATTCGGGAAGCTGACTCCCAATTGTCTGACCAAAACAGACTGATTGTTAACATCCTCCTCTATAACTCCATGAGTTAAAAGATCTGGGACTTGTCGCTTGAAGTTGCTGCAATTCTTGATAGAGTGTCCTCGGGCTGCGACATGATATTCAAAAGAAACTTTTTCATTATGCCATATCGGATAAGGGGGAAACAAAGGCTTAGCCAGTCGTGGAGCAATCAGTTGGGCTTGTAGCAACTTGGGATATAACTGGTTGTACGAAAGTTCTTTTGACCTCACTTTCTCCTTGCCATTATTATGACCATATTGAAACCTTGTGACTGATCATTGAGATGTTCATTTTTAAGGTTCAATGTTTGACCAACGTCTTGGGAGAGATATTGGTTTGCAGATATCCTTCATCAACAAGTTTTGAGCTTCTGGGGCTTAGGTTTTCCATTTTCAAAGCATAACAATCCTTCCATGATGAGGTTTTAAACTTTTAATCTCATTATCGCATAATTTTAAGGAGTGGCTAAACTCTCCAGAATGATAGCCGCATGAATTTTTGACACCTTGCCAATCTGGACATAAATAAGTATTAGGCCTTGGAGGATAAGACATTAGGAGCCCACTTTCAAAAGAAAGGGTAACAAGTCCAAAAATGAGATCGGAATCGGAATCAGAGGTATCATCTTCTTCTTCTTTCTATTGTTTTGTCATTCTTTACTGGTACTTGGTCCTCTTCCATGCTTCTTTTCTTTGACGTCAGCTCCACCGATTTTTGGAGTTGCATTGGATTCTCACGTTCTTCTACAAGTTCCTGGTTATTTGTCCTTCTTGTTTTGGTTACAACACCAACGTTCATATTTTCCTTCAAATCCTTCGTAACTGGATTTTCTAAGAGCTTTTCTCCATGGATCACAACATTCACCATGGCCATTAATTTGTTCATTTGTTCTTTTGATTCACTTTAGAATTTCTCTGTTTGACCATTTGTTCCTTTGAATCATCTGGAAATTTTTGCTTGATCGATCATCTCTTGTGAGTCTTGATATTTTTCTCTTGGAGTTTCTTGATTCTACAAACCCTTACTAAAATCTCATTGATGGTTCTTATCCTTCTCTAGGAAGACCACGTTAACTCCAATTTGATTTTGAAAATTTTGTCATAGAATCCTCCGCGAATTATTCCCATATTTTCATGATTTAATGCATGAAAAATAGTTTGAAACAAAATGCAAATGCATGATAAGATTGAAACTATAAACATAATTATGCAAAGATGAAAATGCAAATGCAAATGCAAAAAAAATGAAAATGTAAATACAAACGTAAAAATGCAAAGATGCAAATGCAAATGCAAATGGAAATGGAAATGGAAATGCAGAAGGTATCGATTTCCAAAAGTAATCATTCTTAGAAAGAGTTTCATTCTTCCAAAAGAACTTTCATCTTTACAAGAAAGATCAATTCTACAAATACGGTTTAGCCTTTTTATTTAACTTCATGATCTCAATCATGATCCCAATAAATTTCTCTTCTTTCTAGAAATGACTCCAAATAGAGATGATGAGTAGTTGAACGTAGCCTTTGAGTTACCTTCTCTCCAATATATGGCAATCATTTAAGGATTTGAAGGTCTCTGTCAAAAAGCTAGTGCAAGATTTATATCTCTCTAATCTGTTCAAGAAATCGCAACAACAGCCTCCACGTGTAGCAAAGTCTTTGAGAACTAGACCATCTATAGCCAGAGCAAAGGTGTCTAATCTCTTATCTTCATCCATACGCTCGAGTATCACCTTCTTGAGGTTATGCCACAGAAAACACTCACTTTCTCCCATTTATTAGATGTTCTCTACTATCCAATTTTCACCTGTACCAGTAATCTTTACCACTTTACTCTTGAAGGATTGGATTTTTGGAGGTTTGGAATAAATTCTATCCACCTGGAGGTTTTCAAAATTAAATAGAACTGTATACTCCTCGATTATTGGTGTCAAATATTGTCTGTTGAAAGTGAAACAACTGTACGCAGGGTTCCAGAATCGAACCAAAGCCTTGAGTAACGGTTCATCTATTTTTACATAAAGGAGCTGAACTATGTAACCATATTTCTTGTAGAACCTCTCTTTGGTAAGTACTCTCTAAATATCCCAAATCTCTATCAGCTCTTGTAGATCATTCTTGCTTGAGATTGACACTGACATTTGTGATCATCTGTGATACGTAATCCCCAGGCAAGCCCTTTTTGTTTTTTCAGACTAAGCTTGAACCGCTGGATTGAGTTATTCCTTGTTATGAAAACTCTTTTCCATTTCAATGATCGCTATTCTAATATGATGATTACTTGGTTTAATCAACACCTTTCTTTTATTCATGATGATTATGCAAATGTGAAGATGCAAATGCAGATGCAAAAGTGATGCAATGCAAAGAATGACAAAAAAATGGCATACGCTAAAGAAAATAAATAAATTAGTATGGGCGAAATAATCAATAAAATTAAAAGATGCTATTTAAATAAAATATCACACCTACCCAATCATGATATCTACCCGATCATGCTTTTATTAGATATTAATCCAGCCCAAACATGCTTTCTACCCAAAATAATTATTTTCAATGAAATGATCCTAACCACATGGTATCTAGTTCGCATGATGTTATTCAACAGAAAATAAAATGGTTCAGAAACTCTCCTCTTTGTGTATACTTAATTTGGGTACCTACTGACAGTTAGAGGCTCGGTATGTCTATACCTAGGATGACCGTTCTACAGTTCACTATATGCATGGTTTTGGATCTAACGGGAAAAGGTACTCGAATTGTCCTTAATGTTGGTGCCCCCTTGGCTACCAAACCCTTAATCCTTGCCCATTATAGGCTCGTGTGGATCGAGTTTAATTCGAGAGGATACATTCCCTTATGTCCATGCGGAGAAACAATTTATTTCACATAGACATAAGGTATATGAACCCTAAAGATTACTTGCTAAAACCCATGCGGAGAAACAAATTATTTCACGTAGGTTAAACTTTCATCTCAACTTAAAAGGGACAAAGCTCGTAAGTGAGCTTATGGTATGTAAATGCTCGTGATGTGTGTGAGGAGGAACATTCAGCCCTTTGACTCAAAAGGAAAACAAAACCACTCGATCAAAAACTTGGACAGATCTGAAAGCAAAAATCAAAATGTTAGTATAACAAAAAATGAAGCAATTACAAACTTCAATAAATGAATCATAAATTAACTAAAAACTTGAATTCATAATTTCCATCACAACGACAATGTATAAACGACTTACAGCTTGACTCTGTAAAAAGTCCCCAGCAGAGTCGCCAAGCTGTCGTAACCATTTTTCGGCGGGGACAATCGTTTAATTATTTTAAAAACAGTTACGACTTTTAATTTTGGAAAAATAGGTGATTTTGGATTATTTTGGATGTCGCCATCAACCTTTGATTTAGGTAGGTCGAATACCTAAAAACGTCTTTTAAAAACAATTTTAAGAAAAATCATTTTTTAAGACAAAAGCTAGTCTGTGTTTACCAAAGATTTGCTTAAAACGGGTTCGGGAGTCGGTTACGCGTGGGGAAGGATTAACACCCCCACAACGCCCAAAATTGGTACTGTGTGGCTTACACGTTGTCGTAATAGTGGAAATTCTGAATTGAATATAAGATTAAATTATGATTTATTTATTAAATATTGATTAACTTGCTTAAAATTAATTAATTAAAAATCATTTTACTAGAATAAGAAATCTTGAAAACATGAACTTAAAGGATTAAAATAACATAAACGTATATTTAAGGGACTAAATAACAAAAAATCAAAATCACCAATATTAAAAAAGTACATGTACTAAAAAAATGAAAATAACCCACAAATAATTTAAAGGACTAAAATGAACTGAACAGAAACATAAAACATTAATTAAACCAAAAAATAGTGACTAAAATATGATATTTACAAATTAAATGCTCAAAACGAAATAAAACATAACTTCATTTAGTGGTTGGAAAATAAAGTAACAAAGATAGAAGGACCTAGATTGTTAATATACTTTAACCAGAAAACATGCAAAAGGCAAATCATGGTATACTAATTTCAAAACGTATACTATAAAGTGATATGCTAACATGGGATTTTGTTTCGTATAAAAATAACAACGTGGGACCAAGTTAAAATGCACGTAGAATATGAAGGTAAAATTAAAAGGTTTAGGAAACATGAATTTTTAGGACTATAATGCGCTAAATTAAAAAAACGTGGCTTCTTTAGTAATAAACCCATTCGCACCAAAATGAATTTCCCTAACCCCTGTTAAATGATACACTCATCTACACTGAAACGGAAGCTTGCAAGATTGTTTGGTACCCTATTTATTGTTACTGCTTAGTTGGAATTAAAACTTTAAATTATTATTATTTAACCTAATAACTAAATCTATTTCCTTCTAAGCCTAACCCACTATCGTCGTTTCTCTCATCTTCAACTCTCTCCTTCGGCCACTCAACAAAGGTCCTTCAACTCTCAAGCCAGACCTTGACTGGAGAAGGTCCTAAGCTAGCCCAATGAAACACAAAGCCATTGCTTCCCTCTCAACCCTCTCATTCATTCAACTCGAGAGTTCTAACACTCTTCTTCTTCAATCTCATGCGGCACCGCTCTACTCTTCTACGATGACTCCTGTTTTCTCATGTGAAAATCCATACACAACAGGGTAAGCTAGATCGAAACCATCTTCTATTACTCTTACACTTTTTTATTTTTTATTTATTTTTTAAAAAAACCAGATCTGAAAACCTAACTTATAATCTACATGCAAGCTTTTAGAAGCCTAAGAGTTCTCGATCTTTCAATTCCTCCTCAACGAAATCACTTCGGCGACACTGGCTCCAGCGAAGAGACCTCCAACATTCGGTAAACTCAAATGACCATTCTTTTCTTTGTGCTTATATTTTAAAACAAAACACACACACCATAAGCTATAACACATAAATGAATTAAAAAAATCAAAAGGTACCTCAATCAACTGCTATTACTTTATGTTAATTCGAAAACGAAGGGGTTAAAAAACCCTTTATTTACACTGCTTGACAACGGAATATTTAGAGCCCAATACATATATTTTTCCGAATCTAGTAGCAGAAGACCCCCTCCATTTTCAATTTGTTTCATGTTCTTGCTTGCTAATCCCCCCTTCTGTTCGTATTTTCTCCTCCTTCCTTTTTCTCTCGATTTCTCTTCGATTTTATTGTTGAAATCTTCACCGAATCTCCTTGGATTCATCTGTATTTTCTTTACATTTGGTAAGATCGTGACAGGTTTAGGTATGATTTATGTATTTGCTTTTGACTTTGATACAATTTTGATTTGTTTTGTTGTTCGGTTGGCTGACATAATTGATGATGACATTTCAACTTGCTCAGAGGTGACTCTTCTTGTGACTCGTCGGTGGAGAGGCTTGGTATTGTTCCTGATCTGGTCTGTTGGGTCGCTGGATTTTGGGACTGGGACTTTGGATAACTCTTTTTAACTTAGGCCTGAAAAAATGTAATTAATTAGTAATAAGATTAATAATAATAATATAGATAATAAAATACTAATATAATTAATAACATTTTTTGGGACCCGGACATAAATGGGTGTTTACAGCTGCCCCTCTTTGCACATTCTTGTGTTAACAAGAATAGGGCAAAGACGAAAAAAAACAACCAATTTTTGTCCGGTTCTCTTTTTTGGTTTTGAGATTTGTTGTTTGATTTGGGAGACGACACGACTCATGCGTGCTAAAGAGTTCTGGTTATCAAGGATTGACACGGCTCCTACATAATGAGGAGATCAGGTCGGGTGATGACACAGTTCCTACGTGATGAGTACGTCAGGCCATCTATAGGTGATAAACGGTTCCTACGTGATGAGGACGACTGGCTATCTGGGGTTGACACGGTTCTTACGTGATGAAGAAATCAGGTTGGTGGATGACAAATTGTTGTAACACTAAGTCGATCCATTGGGCATAATATTCTTCAATATATTTACACTAAAAATACTAACTTTAATATAATGACCAAATTCAATTAAATGTAAAATTAAATCTATAAAATTAGAAATAATCCAGTGACCTAAATAGAAAAACAAGGCAAATTTATGGGGATTTAAGTCGTAATTTACCCAGTTATAAACCTAAACAAGTTCTAAACAAAATAAAAATGAAAAATAACACTTAAAGACCCAGAAAATTGACATAAAATCATATCAGCCCAAATCTAGCTTCCAAGATGTAAATAAGAGCCTAATTTAGGGACCTAAAGAAAAATTACCCTTAATTATTTAATATATATGTACTACTTAAAATACTAAGCATAATCTAATTTTAAACTACCCTCATCAACCGCATCATCCTTCTCCACTTTCTCCCTCACGCCCCTTCTTCTTCCTCACTCACAGATATCTCTTTTCCTTCCTCAATGAACACCGCCGAGAGGCCTTAAGGGCTTCAAATCACGCCTCCAGCACCCCCCTAAACACCATATCCCGGTGGTATTTTATCCATCCGACCGCCTTTAAGAACTACCAAAGAAACTTAAACGTACGAAGACCGAAGACCCAACTCCACTATTTTTTTTCCGGTGACCTCAGGATACCTTGACTCCGACGATGAGAACTCACATAACAAGGTAAGCTAGATCGATACCCTTTATTACTCTTACTCTATTTATTTTTAAAAACCCAGATCTAAAAACTAAATTTAATCTACATGCAAGCCTTCCAAAGGATACCCGACTCCTCGGCCTCGAACCTCGGTAATAACAACCGGATGAAGAATGAAAACAACGCCTAAGGTACAAAATTAGATCCTTCAATATTGATTCATTTAAAAACCATAAAACGAAACCTTCTGAAATATTTATTTCTTTTCTATTTTTACGAGAAATTAAACAACGTGCTTGCTAAAAATGAAGAAAAATAAAGGACCTTTGAACCTATGCACTATTTTTTAGAATGAGTACTGCTGAAGGATAAAATGTTTTTTATGCTATGGATGTTTGATTATTGGACTTGAAAATTGCTGATAACTTTGATATTTCTTCTGTGAGAGAAATATTTGGTAATGTATGAATGGATAAGGGTTACTAATAATAATTTTTCATATCATATGCTACCTTTTCTTCATATTCTGCTTTGAAAAATAAATAAATAAACACATACACACACTTAACACATAATGGAAATAAAAAAGAAATCAAATACCTCAAGAAATTGCCACTGACTTTCGTTAATTCACAAAAAAAAAGGATTGAAACCCTTTTCTTACACTACTTTTGAAAGATAAAGATCAGAATCCCCTGTTGTTTTTGGTATTATTTGCCCCTTTTGACTTCTTTTTTTCTCTGTTCCCCCTGTTCGTGAATGCCTCTTAATTTATTATTGATCTCTTTACCAAATCTTCATGGATGCATCTGGATTTTCTTTTGGTTGGTATGAAAATGACAAGTTTAGGTAGTATAATTAATTTTCTTGACTTTGTTTGATTGAAGCAGGTGATCTGTCACTGTGGATGATTTGTACAAATTGGCTCTGAAGGTGGCGCGACAGATGAAGTGTTAAAACCCTAATCTGTTTAGGGTTTTAAGTTGGGTAAGATTTTGGGTTACTGGGTCTGGATCGGGTCTCCATCTGCTTCATGGGCTTCTTGGATTTATAATTTGTTGGGCTTTATTTTGTGGGTCTGCACAAAATATAAATAAACTAATTAATAATAATAATAATTTAATATTTTTGGCCCGGACAAAAACGGGTCTACAATATATATTGTAGACAATTTTCATCTAATGGATCGACTTAGTGTCACAACAATTTGTCATCCACTGACCTGATTTCTTCATCACGTAAGAACCGCGTCAACCCCAGATAGCCAGTCGTCTCATCACGTAGGAACCGTGTTATCACCAATAGATGGCCTGCCGTACTCATCATGTAGGAACTGTCATCACCCGACCTGATCCCCTCATTATGTAGGATCCGTGTCAATCCTTGATAACTAGAACTCTTTAGCACGTATGAGTCACGTCGTCTCCCAAATCAAACAACAAATCTCAAAACCAAAAAAGAGAACCGACAAAAATTGGTTATTTTTTTCGTCTTTGCCATATTCTTGTTAACACAAGAATATGCAAAGAGGGGCAGTTGTAAAACACCCAAAAATATTAAATTATAATTATTATTATTATTAATTAGTTTATTTATATTTTGTGCAGACCCACAAAATAAAGCCCAACAGATTATAAATCCAAGCAGCCCATGAAGCAGATGGAGACCTGATCCAGACCCAATAACCCAAAATCTGACCCAACTTGAAACCCTAAACAAATTAAGGTTTCAACACATCATCTGCCGCGCCACCGTCAGAGCCAATTTGCAAAAATCATCCACAGTGATAGATCACCTGCTTCAATCAAACAAAGTCAAGAAAATTAATTATACTACCTAAACCTGTCATTTTCATACCAACCGCAAAGAAAATCCAAATGTAGCCATGGAGATTTGGTAAAGAGATCAATGATAAATTAAGGGGGTCTCGAAAGAAATAGGGGAGGAGAAAACAGATTCAACACAGAGGGGGCAAGCATAAAACATATACGCATAACAAGAAATATTTTTTCGGGGAAGGAGTGTTCGAATAGCAACCTCTCGGTAATTCAGGGGGATTGGAACAAATTTGTTGTAATCATTTCCCATTTTCAAGAAATCAATACAAAAAGAAAGAGCAGTGAGCATTCTTCTTTGATTATTCTACGTTTTTTTGTGCTTTATTTCTTCCTTTAATTTTACACTAAATCATACAAAGCAAAAAATAAGAGAGGGAAGGGGTTTTAGTTACCTTAGTTGTCTTTTCTTCTCACCGGTTGTTAGAGAAAGGAGTGAAATAGAACATAGTTTCGTTAGGTTTTTCGGTTTATAATCATGGTTTCTTTTAGAGAGGGAAATAAATGGCTTTTAGGTCGGTTTGGGTATCAATTAACCCTTTTTAGTTGTCTAAGCAGTGGTCGGTGAGGACTAAGGCTTTTAGAGTCTTGATTGTGGAAGAGAAAGGAAGCTATGGTGAGGGTTTAGCAAATCCTAGATGTAGTATGGTTTACCTGGTTGACACAGGAGGTGACCGGAATGAGAAGCAACCATCGTTGAGTTGCTGGATATGTTGAATGGTAAGGGAGATGACGAAGCGGCTGAGAGGAAATTTTGAGAGGAATAGCTGGGAGTAAACGAATTTGGGTTTAATTTTTAACCTAAATTATTTATATTAATTTATCAAAACTGCAGTGTTTCAATAGCTTGTGTTTTGTGGAGGGGTAAACTCTTTGGTTGATCCTTTGATTTTTGAAGTATTCAATTCGGGTCCTTAAGTGTTTTAGTTTCTAATTGTAGCTCATAAGTTTCATGCAAATTTTATTTCATCCCTAATTGTAGGTTTATATGTTTATAATTTTGTCTCTGTATTTTGTGCGTATTTGATTTTATCCTGAACGCTAATATTTTCTTTAATTTACACATTAGAGCTCCAAGTTTTCTCATGTTTTATTTTAGTCCCTGTTTTTAGAGTAAGTTTAATTTATTTTTGTATTTTGAATATTTGGTTTGTTATTTTGAAAATTTTCCTTTTCAATCTAATACATGTTTAGGAATTTATTTTTAATTTCAATATTAGTAATTATGTTAATTTATTTTAGTCCATAGATTACATTGTAAATATTTTAGTCATAATTTAGAGTTTTTTTTAGATTAATTTTTTAAATTTAAATTTAGTTTAATCTTGTCCTTTGTGTCTCTATTTAAAACTTGTACATGTGTGCAACATCATTTGTATATTACGGTTTAAATGTTTTATGTGGAATAAATGTAAATTATATTAAATTATTATTTATTCATATATTAACTTGGATTGTTCAATATTTATTCTTTTTGTTTTAGTCCCTTAATGATTTAGTTTGCTAATCTTTGTTACATCATGTTGTAAATTGGTAATTAAGTGTCGTGTTAACGTCTATATTAATCATAATGTATATAACATTAATTTAAATTTACTTGATTTTTTCTAAGTATGTAAAGTAGTTTTAATTATATTTATTTAATTAGTTTATCTATCATAAAAGCTTTAATGTTATTTAATTTATATTATAAATCGGTTTATTTGTTATTCATTATACTTTCAAAATCTTATGTGTTCATATGTATATATATTTTACTATTCTAACTTTTAGCAAACATTATTTTATTGGTTTTAATGTTTTATGTTCTTAATATGTATGTTAATATGTGTATTTGTTCGAAGTACATGCTATGATTTAAAGGTTTTGTGTGATAATTGTGTTTCTTGTATGAGTTTTCTTTATTTCAAATTATGTATATATGTATGCATATTATGTTACTTTCTAACTTTACATATTCATGTGTATATTTGTTGGTTATTATAAAATCTTATTTATTAATTAAATTTAAATATATTTTCTTTTATTAATTAAGTGTGAATGTTTCAATGCATTTTTATTAATTCATTTTATTGCAAATGTCAATATTCATTTTTATATGCGTTAGTCGAAGATAGAATATTTCTTTATGAATGAGAAATAGCTTTTTCGACAAAGGATTGCTAATGTCGAGATTTCTTTTCATATTAAAAATTTCTCTTTTAATTAATAATTCAAAACAAATTAAACTTCGATAAAAGGATCATATTTTAACTTTATTTAATTCATGGTTTTCACCATTTACGACAACGTGAAAGCGACACAGTACCAATTTTGGGCGCTGTGGGGTGCTAATCCTTTCCCACGCGTAATCGACTCCCAAACCTGTTTTAATCGAATCTTTGGTAAATGCACCAACTTTTGTATTAAAAAATTATTTTTCTTAAAATTGTTTTTAAAAGACATTTTTAGGTATTCGACCTACCTAACCCAAAGGTTGATGGCGACTCCTTTCAATTTTACCCAATTTAATTCAAAACCACCCAATTTTCCCAAATTTAAAGTCGTAATTGTTTTTAAACAATTAAACGATT